TTTGCTTTTTTTATTGGATGAATGTTGTTGGCTTAAATTGGCTAATGAATAACCAGAGAATAGTAAAGCTAGTGGAAGCACAGGGAGAACAAACCTGTTAGTTTTACTTTGTTTTAGAAGATGAGTTTTTATTGTAAATAAAAAAATAAAAAAAGATAGTAATAAAGTTTTCTAATTTGTTTTTATTGTGAAAAGAATGTTTGTTCTTGTGAAAAATGCAAGAACTGGAGTGTTTGGTATTGGGAGGAATTGGAATTGGAATTTGAAGGATTTGGAATCTTTTAAAATGGAAATGAATTTGTATATTTCCCCTTTTAGTAAATTAATGGGTTGAACTTTTAAAGCTATTTTTAGGTGAAAAAAATAAATTATATAGTAAAGATAAATTTATCAACAGATTATGAAACAGATGTTTTGTTGAAAGGCAAAATACGTACTATGATGTTAATAGTAGCGCATAAAAGGGTATTTTAGTCATTTTCATAAATAAGGGAGGATTTGAACTGAATTCCAGGCTATGGAATAGATTACACAGTTAACATAAATTTATCAACAAACAAAAAAAACTATGAAACAAATGTTTTCTTGAAAGGCAAAGTGCATATTATATAAGAGGGTATTTTAGTCATTTAAAAAAATAAGGGAGGATTCAAGCTGAATTCCAGTCCACGGAAGGAATCTAGATTATACAGTAAAGCATAAATTTATCCCCAGACAAAAAAAAAAATATGAAAAAAATGTTTTCTTGAAAGGCAAAATACATAATAAAAGGGTATTTTAGTCATTTACACAAACACGGGAGGATTCAAACTGAATTCAAGTCTATGGAAGGAATCTAGATTATACAGTAAACATAAATTTATCACCAAACAAAAAAAATTATGAAACAAATGTTTTCTTGAAGGGAAAAATAAATACTATAATGTTAATAGTAGTGCATAAAAGGGTATTTTAGTCATTTTAACAAATAAAGGAGCATATTTGAAACTGAATGCCAGTATATGGAAGGAATCTAGATTATACAGTAAACATAAACTTATCACCAAACAAAAAAAAATTATGAAACAAAGGTTTTCTTGAAGGGCAAAATGCATACTATAATGTTAATAGTAAGGCATAAAGGGTATTTTAGTCATTTACACAAGTAAGAGAGGATTCAAAGTTCCAAACTGAATTCCAATTCCAACCAATTCCTAAGGAATGTAGCAAACCAAAAACTTTATAAAAAATAGGAAATATGGATTTTACTCTGTAAGAATGCATACCTGAATTCTTTGTGGCCTAATACACTATAAAGGGCTAAAACCCACAAAATGAGTCCAGAAAGCTTCCAGTTTTTAGACTGAATGATGCCAACCACCATAAAGGGTAAAAAAGTAAATATCATAACTGTAAATCCCTGGGTGAAATACCAGTGCCATGGGTGAGTTCCATAATAGTCACCTCCAGATGAAAAAAAATTAAACTTTAAAAAGTTTAAAGGCACTAAAACCCATGAACCATACATCAATCTATCCAATATCAATGTCAATCCAAGCACAACAGACCTAATTAAAAAAAATTAAAAAAAAAAAGTCAGAAACATAACAATTTAAGCAAATCTATGCATGTTAATCTTAGGGCTAAATGCAAGAAATAGCAACAATCATTACAGAAAGATACTTATCCTTAATTATTGTTACTACTTGTAGGCTGACAGAAATTATACCTAAAATGCCCAAAATACCCTTGTACTACAAGAGATTCCCCCATTATGCTGATTTCCCATCTTACCCTTTTCTATAAAGCTTTGCTTAAGTGAATGCATAATAAAATGGAAAGAAGGATACTACAGCATACACACTACAATATACACATGTATGAAAGTAAGTTGCTATTTAATGTATTTAGCATTAAACAAATGAATGAAAATATATTTTTATTTCTTGTATTTAAGGCTTACCCAATTGGCACAACTTGAAGAAAAATGAATTTGAGCTTATTGTGGGAGCCAAAAAGCTCGGTAATTCCAACATAAACCCAAATGATAGCACTTGTTGGACGAATGGCACAGGCTAAAGCAGCTGCAAGCAGAGCGTAGGTTCTAGAACCTGGGGGCATTTTGGTCAAATGGCTCCTTAAACTGGGCCAGTAGTAGAGACTAACAACTGTAAGAACAGTCTCCAAACTATTTGATAATGTTCGTGTGATACAGTAAAACATAAACCAGTTTGTTAACTGTGCAAAAAGCTGAAATAAAGTTAAGCGAAAGATACAAGAAGAAGGGCATTTTCGTCTTTTGCGTAAACAATGGACACCAAGGCTTGAAGATTAACCTAAATATGAAGAGGATGTGACACAAAAGGATACAGCCCAATGGACAACATGGACACAAGACAGAAATTTTAATGGTAAAGGAGAAGGGCATTTTCGTCTTTTGCATAGATATAGGACAACAAGGCTTGAGAATTAACCTAAATATAAAGAGGATGTGACAGAAAAGGATACAGCCCAATGGACAACATGGACACAATACAGAAATTTCAATGGTAAGGAGAAGGGCATTTTCGTCTTTTGCATAAACAATGGACACCAAGGCTTGCAGATTAACCTAAATATAAAGAGCATGTGACACAAAATGATACAGCCCATTGAGCAACATGGACACAATACAGAAATTTCAATGGTAAGGAGAAGGGCATTTTCGTCTTTTGCATAGATACAGGACAACAAGGCTTGAAAATTAACCTAAATATAAAAAGCATGTGACACAAAAGGATACAGCCCAATTGGCAACATGGCCACCATACAGGACATGAGAGAGTTTGAACAAGTAGAGATCACCAAAGGCAGACAACAAAGATTGAAATAGTCTTGGAGCTTTGATCTATGAAAAGGGTAGAAAAGTAAATTATCTTTTTTACATAAGATGAACATGTATGAATCTCAATAAAGAAAAGTATTTTACCATGAACAACGGAGTATCAAGATGTAAAAGTGAAAGAACTTTATATAGAACTGCAAATATCATTGGATGCAAATAGCTTCGAATCCCTTTTGTCCACTCCCATGTTAAATGTCCATATCTGTCAATTAATAAATAAAGTTGAATATTTATATTTTATACAAAAAAAAAAAAAAAAAAAAAAAAAAAAAAAAAAAAAACATATATAAAGTCAAATGAAAGAAATAGACAATACCCAAATGTAATTCTATGTGCAACTTCAAGAGCTTGCCAGTGTTCATCTGGGTTGAAATATGTTTGCACAAATAAAGAATTTGTGATTCTGAAAAGTAAACAAATTAAAAAGATTTTCTTGGATGATGAAAATTGATTTCTATCTTCTTGAAAAGATTTTGGGTTCGATGCTTCATCTCCATGTGCAAATTCAGCAGCTTTTGTTCGTTTTCTCATTATTGAATTGATGACACTAAAGTGTTATACCTACATGAAGGAAGAAAGGCATAACAAAACTTCAAGTAAAAACCCATCAAAATAAATTTGTGTTATAACCCATTAATTTATTTGAATGTAAACGAACAATGGCTTTTTATAACCCAACCATCAATTATAATCAGAAAACAACTCAGAAATTAGATTGTGTAGAAACTCAGAAATAAGAACAACTCAGGAATCGGAAACAGACAACATTGAAGCCTAACCTCAGCTTGTTATAACCCACACATGATATAATTCATAAATCTAACCTAATCAATGTAAATTTCAAGCACTTAATATAGTCAATGTAAATTTCGACAGTAACTCACAAATGCAGACAAGAAACTTCAAAATTGTAACTTAATCAAGTGAGAATCTAGTAAAATGAAGATGAAATTTCAAAAATATGTATTTAATAAGCCTAAAAAAAGGCATAAATTGAAGATTGAAGCATTATAAGCTAAGCTGAGATTAAGTTGAAAATCAAACCAGATATGCAATCGCCGGCTGGAGGAGTGGCCGGAGAAGAAGTCGCCGCCTTATGTCGTCGCTGGAGGTGGAGCGGCCAGTTGGAACTGTGGCCGGAGATGGAGTTGATGGGGTGATTTCGTATTTCTTCCCGTTGTGGTGGTGCGTTCGTTCAGTAAACATTAGAGGAGGGCACGCCTCTTTTTTTTACCACTAAATTATAGGAAGGGAAAATGAGGTACAGGCCTATAATGTTCCTAGGTTGACCCGGGTTAATTTATTTTGTGATTTAACAAGGGAACGAATTAGTATTTGTTGGGTCGATTAAGTTCTTATTTCAATTTTGAAGGGTTTAGCCGGTCATTTTAAGTCCACCTCCTTCTACTAACACCACATCGGATGTTGACTGTGACTTTCATCTAATGTCATGTCATTAATTAGTCGCCTCCTTCGTAATGTTTGTATATGCTTTATAAAAGAGCCCTTTTACATCCACTGTTCAACACTTCATCGGTAAACCCTTTTTCGTGAGCTGCTTCTGAATCCTCAAGCATGAAACCCGTATTCTTACGAGTAGATGTCCACTTCTAAGGAATGTTCGCCAGAAACCCCATACGCTACACCTGTGGAATTACTCAGAGGTTTTCGGACATTGATTTCGCAGGAATGGACAAGGATGGGTGTGTCGCGTTCATCGAAAGGTTCACTGGGGAAAAGTGTGAGAAGCTCTATTACTGCCAACCTGATATTGATTTCCCAAAAGGTTTGACTCTAATTTGCAATGACCCCGATTATTACGACTTCATTGAAATTGCATATGAATGTGGTGTTATACTCCCTATGTATGTAGACCATTTTGGGGATAGTAACATACAGGAATGGTTGGATGAACACAAAGACGAGTTTGTTGGTAACGTTGAGGAAGAAGTACTTGATGGTGCAGGACTGGTTAAGGAAGTTGCACCAGGGGTATCGGGATGTGGGTGACAGTGACACGAACGATGAGGTACAGAATGGCGATGATGATGACGACGAGGATGAGGATGTCGATGGCGATGAGGATGACCATCAGAAGCCTCATTTTTTTATAAAGGGTAATGAGAGTCAGGTAGAGATGGGTGAGAAAGCAGGTGCAGGTGAGTTTTTCGAAGAAGACATGGGTGACAATGAAGATGTTTATCCCGAATTGCCAAACATTTTCAATGATAAGCTCAATTGGAAGGAGCAGGAACCTGTTTTAGGTATGAGGTTTGAGAGTCCTAAGCAATTGAAACACATGCTTTGTAACTATGCTGTCGCGAATGGTTATCAATTATGTTTTGTTAAGAATGATACTAGACGATTACTTGTCAAATGTTGTGATGGCAAATGTACTTTTAGGCTTTGGGGTTCTTGGATGAGTGAAGATAAGTCTTTCCAGATAAAATCTCTTATCGGTGAGCATAATTGTGCAAAGAATTTCAAATTCGGATCAATTGTGACTTACAAATGGATAGGGACCCACTTTAAGCACCAATTTTATAACAATCAAAAGATGAGCATCCGAATGCTTAGAGAGGAGGTAAAAATAGATTTTGGGATTAACGTGAGTTTGAGTCAGTGTAGGAGAGCCAAGAAGTATGCATTGAGTCTAGTTGAAGGGACAATAGCTAAGAATTATGGAAGATTATGGTCATATGGTGAGGAGATTAAAAGATCAAATCCTGGATCCACAGTTAAAATTTGTGTTGATTCAATGCCTGATGGTAAGAATTATTTCAGCAAAATATACATATGTTTTGCTTCAGTAAAAGAGGGATGGAGGGGAGGATCATTAACCTGGATGGTTGTTTTCTGAAAACTTTTTGTCAAGGGGAGTTACTTTGTGCTGTGGGTAGAGATGCTAACAATGGAATATTCCTAATTGCTTGGGCAGTTGTTTCTGTGGAAAACAAAGAGATTTGGAAATGGTTCTTAGAAACTCTTTCAGAAGATTTGCAATGTTGGAATGATGGTAACAGTTTGGTTCTAATTTCGGATCAACACAAGGTATGGTTCAAAACTATTGCATGTTTTAAATTTAGTTATTGCTATTCGAATTTCAAACATTAATGTGACTTATGTAGGGTTTGATTAGGGCTGACAATTCTCGACACGACCCGCGACACGACACGAAATAAATGGGTTTGGGTTGAGTTTTTCAACCTGCCAACCCGCTAACCCGTCAACCCGCCAACCCGTTTATTAAACGGGTCATATATAGGTTTCTCAAAAAATAAACGGGTTGACCCGCCAACCCGTTTATATTCTTAATAAAAAAAATTATATTTTTAAATGTATTTATGTATCAAGTATTAATATTTAATAAGTATTATATAATATATACAATTTATTCATAGACCATTTGATTGTTTTGACATTATTACTCGTGATGGATGGTCTAAGGTCTTAAGTCATAACCTATAAGGCTAAGTCTGTAACATGTTTCTATGAATGTTTTTAATTTTCATTTGGATGTTTTAGACTTAAATATCTAAAATTTGGACCCACGAACCCAAATCTGACCCATGAACCCGCCAACTTGTGAACCCGTATAAATAAATGGGTTGGTGGGTCATATATGGGTTTATGTTCCAAACCCGTCAACTCGTGACCCACCAACCCGTGACCTGTATAGTTAAATGGGTCGTGTTTGGGTTGGCATATTTTGACCCGCCAACCCGCTAACCCGCGACACGCCAACCCGAACACGACACGATTGCCAGGCCTAGGTTTGATTGAGGCAGTAAAGGAAGTATTTCCAGCAGCTGAACATAGGCAGTGTGTTAGACATATCTATGCAAATTTTAGAAAGAGATTTAGTGGATCCAAGTTTGAAAATCTGTTTTGGAAAGCAAGTAAGGCAACAACTGAAGCACAATTTAATGTAGTTATGAAAGAGATTGGAAAATTAAATCCGGAAGCAGTTGTGCATCTTATGGCTAGAGATCCAAAGACTTGGTCTTTGGCTTTTTTCAGAGTTCATAATTCTTGTGAGTCAATAAAGAATGGTTTTTCAGAGAGTTTTAATAGTGTGATTTTGGATGCCCAGAAGAAACCAATAATAAGCATGTTAGAGGACATTCGTACATATGTGATGCAAAGGATGGTGACTATGAAACTAACCGGACAAGGATGGAATGCTTATTCTGTTTTTCCAAACATCATAATACGGTTGAATATGCTCCAAACTGAGCAAAGGTTTGTACAGTTATCCAATTACATTAGTCCTTTACTCTTCACATCTCATGATATTTGCGGTTTTCATCTGTATATGTAGGCATTGGCATGTCATTTCTTGTGGGGGGATGAAGTTTGAGGCAAGGAAGATGGACGAGGCATTTATTGTGGATGTTGAAAAAAAAGGAATGCAGCTGCAGGCTATGGCAACTTAATGGATATGGTTGCGTACACTCAGTTGCCACCTTAGCCTACTTAAATTTGACACCTGACGGTCCATATGTAGATCCAATGTACTTGGTTGCATTATACCATAATACTTACAAACAACCAATCCATGGGATGAATGGAAAAAATATGTGGCCTTCTACTGACTTGATACCCCCTTTGCCTCCATTGAAAAGACGTATGCCAGGAAGGCCAACCATAAAGAGAAGAAGAGATGCTTCTGAACGGATGGGAAAACATACCGTTTGCAAGGCAGGGAAGAAAGTTTCTTGCAGGATATGCAAGGAGAAAGGACACAACAAGGCTACTTGTAGTAAAGGTGTAGGAACATCCAAACAAAATGGAACAAAGAAACAAAAAACTATACCTACGCAAGAGTCTGTAAACGTTGCCACAGGAGTAGGGGATGATGAGGTAATCGTAGATGCTACTGATGCTTTGGATAGGCCTAGAGATGAAGAGCGAATGGTGGGAGTCAATGGACGGGATGAAGGGGTGAATGTCAATGCTCGAGTTAAGCATGGTAAACCACCTAAAATGCGAAAAAAGTCAGAACGAATCATTAAACTGAAGCTTGCAAAAAATGTAGGAGGTGAAGGTAGCAGTGTTGCAACGGCCATGGACTTGGATTAAGTAGTTGTTTGTTATTTGTAGTGAATGTGTGTTACAGTAAACAAATTATCTTTATATGTTCTTTTATGGTGTACTACGAATATTTAGGGGTATTATGGGCATTTTAGCCAAACACAAAGTAAACTGACCATTTATGATGTGGGGGTATTTGAGTTATTACTATTTAAATTGACCATTTTGGTTGTGGGGGCATTTTAGTCATTAGAAATTAAATCTAGCATTTTGGATGTGAGGGCATTTTAATCATTAGAAATTAAAACCATTTTTGGATGTGGGGGTAATTAAGTCATTACAAAGTAAATTGGCCATTTTGGATGCAGGGGTAATTAAGTCATTACAAAGTAAATTGACCATTTTTCATGCAGGGGTAATTAAGTCATTGTAAAAAATAGGGACTTGTGACTTAATCCATTCAACATGAAAAGGCTATCTTTAGAAAACTTTATTCCCTTTTTTTTTTCAAAAAAGGTTTGCAGACAAGCAAATATGGTTCAATCGTGTGCAAAGGTATTTTTTGTCCCTTTTCCCAAACTGCACCATTTGTGGTCCCTGTCTATGCGCATAAAGAAGGTAAATTCATTTTGCTTTGTCTTGTGGTGTCGTCCCAATTGATGAAACATATATAATACCCAAATGTTTCTTTCTTTCATGCACACATACAGATACAGGTGAAAGACAAATTCGTTTTTTTAATAATAACATATTAAAACACATTTCACCCATGGGTTTGTTTACATTGCTTTCTGCTATTCAATAACATATTACAGAGATCATCGACAAAAAACTTCATTAAAAAACAATGACAAATCAGCAGCCCAGCAACACCACCACCAAATCTACAGACCAACATCACAAACTAATACCAGCAACCCACAAAAAATATACTACTAATATTGACACTAAACAACATAGGCAACACACCAAAACACAAACCTAGGAGTGAAATGCTTCAACCTACACAACATTTTTTTTACTTAAACACCAAATACGTCACCACAGACGCACAAACAACACCAAAAATCCCAACACAAGACATCAACTTCTTACGTTTGTTGTCCTTGAAGACCATCTTCACACATGCTCCTTGCAGAGAAACGAGATGATTTTTAAGATCAACAACCATATGTGAGATATCCATCTGACCAACGCGAACGTCATTGAACTTAAGGTTCATGGCATCTAAGTGTCGATTAACTGCCTGACGGAGCTCATGCAACTGGTCTTGGAAGTCCTCCCGTATAAGAGACACTTCCATCTGGGTTTGCAGTAGACTGATGGCCATGTCTTCATTGGTTACACCATTCGAATGATTCTCATCCATGTGACAGTTGTAATTTGGAGACCAGCTGTGTTCTGCACGTCCGCTCGAAGCCATTTTGGAGTAAACTCAGAGACGAGATTGGGGTAATGAAGTTTGCAGATGTGCCCTTTTAGGTCAACGAAGTCTTCATTTTATATGGAGGTGCTAGAACTGTCGATCCTTGCTCCTTACGATTCGCCTTCAATACGACGTCGTTGCCGTTCTTGGACGATTTAACTTCTTGCCATGTCATCGCTTACGTGTTAGGCTAGGTTTATGTGGCAACGTTAACCGACTACAATAGTTAAAAGGGACTATATTGCTAGGTAACAAATAACTCGTTCCCTTATTAAGCCACAAAATAAGTTAACTGGCTAAATGGGTCAACCCTAGAAACATTATAGGGCCTATACGTCATTTTCCCTTATAGGAATAATTAGGTTTGGTTCTTAAATTTTTTTTTGTCACAAGATTTATAAATTATATTTTTTACTTAAAAGATCTTTACATTTGTTTTTGTTATACATTTGGTCTTAATTTACCTAAAAATATTATTATTTAAATATAAAAAAATGATTGAATATAAGATAATATAAGAGGTGGGGTTGGGGTATGTTATTTAAATAAATTAAAAAATCAATGATAAAATAGTCTTTTTAAATAAGACAATGACCAAACGCGTAACAAAAACAAACAGGAGAGACCTTACGAGTTAAAATAAGTTAAGGATCAAATGCACAAATTATCCTAAACCATAGGGACCATTCATATAATTTACCCATTTTTTTACTAAATACTTAAATCACCTTGTAAATATTTTTAAAACATATCATCAGTAAAATATTTTTTCAAAAACATCCTTTTTCAAAACTCTAGAATCGTATCGTTAGTTCTTAGTTCTTAGTTCTTGCTATTTATTTATTTTTCCAAGAGAAAATCTAATATTTCTATTGGATTAATATATGGGAGCTCATTTTTTTCATTAATTTTGTTATCCATCCACAAGAAAAAAAATAGTTCATTAACAATTGTACACGTGTGTATATATATATATATATATATATATATATATATATATATATTATATATATATATATATATATATATATATATATATATATATATATATATATATATATGTTTAGGTTATTTTGCTTTTAATAAGTATTGTGTGCCAGAATGCACAGATCTGGATCAATTGATGAAATTAATCAATAGACATGATTTGAGGGTGTATGATATTACAATGAGGTAACATGTAGCATATAATCATACAATTTTAAGCAAAAGAGTAATCTGGACAATTAACTACATTTATAAAAGGAAATTTTCGGATTTTTAGGGATGATTAATTCTCCTAATTTAAAAAAATATGAATTTTTTAATTAATTCAATTTCAAATTTTTACCGTTTTTATTCTGTCAGAATATTTTTTTATTAGAATGATGGTCTTTCAGAATTTTATTCTAATAGAATATTATATTGTTAGAATGATGCTCTTTCTGAATTTTATTCTAATAGAATATTATTGAAGAAAAATAAAATTTTTGAATCAGATGTTGAAAAATAACAAACATTCTAATATATTCTTATACATCTGAACTTAAATACAAATTCATACATATTCTTATAGACTAAAATCTTTATACATTTTAATATAATTATACATATTCTAGAAGAATATCAAGGTCTTCAATGCCTTCTTCTAGCCATTCCTATCACAAATACAACAAAAACTAATAATTGTTAAAAACATGTTACTTGCAATTAACTATCACTTAATATATTCTGGTAGTATACATAGAATATGACATACTACATATAATAGATTTTGGCAAAATACATCGATTTTATTCTGGTAGAATACATTCTGATACAATATATAGAATACATTCAAAGGTATTGTATTTACTGCTAGTAATTCTGACAGAATGCATACCACAAGGTTAAATTCTTTAAATTCTCTTTCAGACGTTTGAACAAACACTTGTTAGACATTATCATCAGACAAGCCAAAAACCATATTTGATTTACTTGCAATAGTTTACCTATAAACATAATTTCTAGCAACATGATTTAGAATGCATACCACACGGTTCAAAGAGTAAGTTAATTTGTGTTGATGAAAAATAAAAAGGCACACACAACCTAGAATTGTATTCCATAACTGAAAGAAAAAAAATATATGGCAGACCCATTAAAGCATAGAAATGTGGTTTTCATATAAGATTTGAAAACATTATTTTGTAAGAAAGAAGAGCATCCACATAAAAGAAATTGAAACTCATCAACTTAAACACATGAATAAAGAATGTTACTTACATTATAAGACCCTAATACAAGAGCTGGAACCATACGAACTAACATCTTTTTCTATGCTTCCTTCTAACTGAAAGTGACTCGTTAAGCAAGAAAGAATAAATTTTAGAATAAGTAACTGAAGTTCACTGAGACATTTTAACAAACAGTTGGTGTGCAAATCGGAATATTTTAAATTCCACTAACAGTTCACTGAGACAACAAGTTGGTCCTTCTTTCAGGAATTTAGTCGAGCACCTTATGTGCATAGCTCGTTCCTTTTGAACACGTTAGGTTTTCCTTTACTTAACCATCTAATTCAGCGAACAATAGAAATAGATAATTTGAATCACAAGTTAACAAACCATAATTCATGAGAATTGAAGAGTTGTTACCAGATAAATAAGGGCATACGAAGTTTGCTCGATCTGGAAAAGCTCTAGAGAACCGATCATCGAAGGAACTGTAGCAATGATGCAGAAACATACATCGGCTTCTTGTGACTCCAAAATTGCCTCGATGTTGAAGCTAGCTTCGATTGGAGATGGATCCACCGAGAATAACATCTTCTTAATCAATGGAATGGGGAAACAAATTTGCAGCAAGAGGTTTGACTACCTCTTTTTATCAGACGATATTCATTCGTCCATAAGAAAATTGGAGGAGACATATTACGTATGATATACAAGGCTAGGGTTAAATAGTTGGTCAAACAAATTTTTATGGTAATTTCCATGAATTAAGGAATTTTATTTTAATTAGCATGCTAAGGTTACATAATTACCCTTATTACAATTTTTTAATTATTTAATTATTCCTAAATTCCTATTGGTGCATTCATGCACACAATAGTTGCTAAAAACATTTGAACCTCTCTTTCTCTCTCTCTCTCTCTCTCTCTCTATATATATATATATATATATATATATATATATATATATATATATATATATATGAGAGAAAGAGAGAGAGGGATAGATCTGGAAACTCCAAGCGTTTGCAAAACACGCACGAAAATGATACATTAATTTATTAATTTATAAACATAAATATTTTATGCCCCCATTTTTTCTTTGCAATGTTAAGCAGTTCGACCAATTGAATATTTTGCCAAGACAAAGAATTCTCAAGCTAGCTATTTCAGGCTCTGACCAAATCTGCTTACAAAGAGTTAAAACTTAAAACCATATCTCATTGGCAGAAAAATTGTTGTCTGGAAGCTTACAAAATGCATTACAATATAGAATACCATACCCCCAACAAGATTTTGAAGTAACATACAAATGGGAGTAGACAAAAACTGCAGTAAGAAGAGGTGTCTACAATTCCTCTACTTGTTTGGGTTTGGGCGGACCAAATCGAGTGAGTTAGAAAAAACTATATCATGTAGGGCTCACATTCA